CCCCAAAACCCCAAAACCCCAAAACCCCAAAACCCCTTTAGCTGTAAGACTAGCTGATAATATAATATATAAAACAATGAAGGTAAGAAAGCTTCTTCAATTTTTCATACTTGAGGGTACTCTCTAAGAGAACATTCATCAGGAAATAAGAAGTGGTAGAATGTTACTCAAGGCTATAGTTTAAGTAAATGTATAGAGCACCCTTCCTTTTAGTTCAAGGGTTTAGTGATGAGATAATATTAAATAGGAACGAAAACTATCACTGCACTCAAACACAAGCTCTGGCGTTGAAGCTAATTCCACAAGAGGGTTTAGCAACGGAAGAAAGAGAAAGAATCTAGCTAAGCATGGTAGAATTGGCTCCAAGATATTAGTAAAGCTTTCTAATTAAACTCCTCTAGGAATTAGCCGAAAGGGATTTCCTGAATAAATAAGTCTAAGGTAAGGCTTGACATCTAATTTCTAGGAAGCTCAAAGTAAGGCACAATAGCTTAAATCTTCTAGTTGTGACTGAAAGACTATACCAAGTGAATAGTAAACTTCAGCCGACATTTGATCTTCAAGGCACAGATAAGGAAGAGAGAAGCAAGGCCTTGTCCCAAGCGTAAGACTTTACTCTTAAACTATAGTTACCTTGAAGAGCTTATGAAGATAGGTACTTTTAGAAATCTATCTGTATAGGGAATGAAGAGATAGAGAAATTCAAATAAGCCTCTGCCTCATAAAGAAAAGGTATATAAGATTGCCACGAAAGGGATAAATAGTGAAGATAAGATCATGCTTGCAAAGCTGATGAAGAAGAATACTTTGGAAAGAACCCAACAGAAGGATGCCATTGAGAAGATCAAAACTCGAATTAAGAAATTCAAAGTAACAATTCTTGATAATTTCTAGACTGATAAGAAGAAAAATCAAGCAAAGATAGAGAAGAACCAAATTGAAGGTAACTCTGGTAACAGACTATTATAGACTTCAAGGACGATCTCGAAGAAGACTATGATGATGAGGATGAGCGAACAGGACTTGAAGACCTGAATGAAGAAGAGAAAGAAGAAAGAATCAAATGGCTTTGGCTAAACCTCTTTTTAAAAGCAAAAGGATCAGCTCTTGTGCTTACCACATTCAATCAGCTAAACCATAGAATTCTGGAGTTTGGAACAAAGAGAGGAATCGTTGAATATGATAACAGAAAGGATGTATACCCATGGTATATCCTCAAGCCTAATACTTGGTTTAAGAAAATATGGGATGTCGTTGTGATGATCCTTCTGGTGTACACTGCTTCATATGCCCCCTTTTAGGATGGCATTCATCACAAATATTTCAACATCTGTTTTTGTTTTTGAAACATTTATTGACACTCTTTTTGTTATCGATCTTCTTGTAAATCTTTTCTCAGCTTATGAGAATGAAGAAGGAAGAATGGAGACTCGATTTAAGAAGATCTTTATGAATTATCTCAAGGGCTGGTTGATATTAGATCTCATTGCTTCCTTTCCATTCCAATTCCTAGACCTTTTAGGAGCAGGTACTGGCGGTGGGCAAGTCAATACCATCAGAAAATTAGCCAGACTTCCAAGATTATTCAGAATCTTTCGAGTTTTACGTATCTTAAAATTAGTGAAAATTATTAGAAAGTCAGCATTCCTGGAAAAATTGACCATGAATCCAGGAATTATGAGATTAATCACCACTCTAATAATAGTCAGTATCTTGGTGCATGTATATGCTTGTCTCTGGTTCTTGCAGTCAAAGTTGTCAGACCATTCGCCTGACACCTGGGTTGCGAGATATTCCTATCAAGATACAGAAATCAAGATCCAATATCTCACTGCAGTATATTGGTCCTGTCAACTTCTCACAACAGTGGGATATGGTGACTTCGGAGTTGGAAATATGACAGAAATCATTATGAACATCTTCTGGATGATCTTCGGTGTAGCCTTCTACTCCTTTGTGATTGGTAACATTCAGTCAATCATCACTAAGATGGATGGAGACACTGAGGATCTTGTGAATAAGCTCAAAGCGCTTGAGAATTTCAAAAAGAACACAGGCCTGAAAAACTCAGTGTATATCAGGATCAAGAAATACCTAGAACAAAACTATAATGACTTGAAATGGACAATGGCTTTTGATGAGTTTTTGCCAGAAAGTCTCAATGATGAGATTCTTAGCCATATATACAGAGATACCATTTGTAATATTACATTCTTCAACGATATTCCTCACAAGAACTTTATATGGAGCATCCTTCAGTATTTACAAACCATCAAGGTTGAATTTGGTGAGCTTATCTACCTTGAGAGAGATCTTGCTAAAGAAATGTACTTCCTGAAGACAGGCTCAGTCAAATTATACTACAAGTCAAGAAAGATAGCATATATAGAAGAAGGAGACTACTTTGGAGACATAGAAATGTTCTATAATATCAATAGAGAATTTAAAGCCAGAGCAGCCAACGACTGCATTTTATTAAGGATCCACAAGAAGAATTTAGTTAAAGTCTTGGATGACTATCCACAGGTTAAGAATAACCTCTTGAATACTGTTAAAGAGAAAAGAGAGAGATATTATGACATCATCATTCAGAAGAAATTACCGATGCCAGAAAAGATTTTGAATGTGTATGGAGTCCCTAATCTTGATTCTGAAGAAAGAAAAATCTTACCTATAGAGGATAAGTCTCAGACTGTCGATAATAAGAAGGACAGTCCAGTCGGAGATAATAAATCTAAGAAAAAGGAGATCAAAGAGAATTCTATTAAGAATCCTAAATCACCTCCAAAGGAGTCTATTAAAGTACCTGAAATTCCTCAGCATTCTGGGAGCAAGACCAATCTACAGGATTCCCAGGATCTTAGTAGGATGGATAAAGCACTAGCTCAAAATTTGGAAATAAACAAAGAATTTTCATCATCAATGCCCATGCAAGCTGAAGTGACTGAGAAAGATGTAGTGCAGATCCTTGAAAATTATGATAAAGATATGGAACTCATAGAGTCGATCACAGTTCTCAGGTAACAAAGGAACTAGAAATATTAAGACTCTTTGGAGTCAACTCAATGTTTTAGAACCTGAATTATATAGATATAGGCTAACCTTATTTTATCAGAAAATTACCTTAGGAAATTATTGACACTTACTAGAATTATTAAGCAAATTTCAATGGATCCACACATCTTTAGTAAATGGGCAGAATATACTTGCACTATATATAAAAATTCTCATCAAAAGTTATGAGTGTAACTAATTTTATAGCTCAAAAATTATGGGAAAGCTCTTATCCAGTACTAATAAGCTCTACAATGATTGAGTAGAGGTTGAAAGCAAGAACCTCAAGGTGGAGAAAGAGATCTTAAATATGAAAGACTGTCTGGATGATTTACTAAAATCTCAAAAATCCTAATTCATTATGAAATTTCCTCCAACTTTTCCCTCTTTTATCAACTCTCACTTTGCCATAGTGTACTAAAGAAAATTTTAATTTCAGTATTGAAATTTATTATTGGGGTTTTGGGGTTTTGGGGTTTTGGGG